TCTCTCTCTCTCTCTCTCTCTCTCTCTCTCTCTCTCTCTCTCTCTCTCTCTCTCTCTCTCTCTTACTCTACTCATTGCTATCGGGCTCTACTTACTCATACTATACAAGATTGCTCTCTCATTCATTGCTTCATATTTTCGTTTAAAATAGTGTGTTTGTAGATAAAAAGTTCCGTCGACTACAATTAAGCTATTTCCAAACTATTTTTTTTGCATAAATTGGCGTCTCGAAGTTGAATGAGTCCCCCAATGATTTGTCGGCCAAACAAGCATGCCAAAGAAGATAAGAGGAAAGAGACGATTCAAATGAGTGTAGTTGGAAGTTTCGATAGCTATGTCCTATACAGATTTTGATTTTATTTGTTCATAACTACTGTTCTGAGGATACATGTTGATAGACATACGTACATGGTTATGATAGCAGTTTAGATGAAGTTTCACCTAATGAAACATGATATACAGATATTTGTTTGTGTCACTTATCATTTAGGAGTTCTTGTTTTCATTTTCTTCTATCATAATCATAGTATCCGCCATTGTAGTCTTCGTCGTTATAATTGTCTCCCTCCTCTCCATAGTTATAATCTCCCTCAGGATATTCTTCATAATTATATTCGTCCTCGTTTTTTTTATTATTATCTTTCTTAGTATCTTTAGCACGAGCTGAATGGACAACATTTGAATGTTACGGAGAACCTTGCTGAAATTACCTCTTTGATCAAGAATCATACGTTCCAATATGTTGCCTGGTTCAATCATACGTTTTCTGTCTGAAATAATGTTTGGATGTCATTAGCTGAATGAAGAAGAACTCGCAGTCTTCACTGTACTCAGGTTCATCTGTGACGTATTCCTCATATTCTCTCTTCATTGTCTCCATGTTAGCCCGAGCTTAACTATCAACATTCTGTTTCCTAATCTTCTTTTTACTACCTTTCTCATTTGGAGCCTTACGATCTACTCCGTTATTCGCACCAGCATTCTTGATCATACGTTTTCTGTCTGAAATATTATTTTGCTGTCAATAGGCTGAATGAAGAAAAACTCGCAGTCGTCATAGTAGTCAGGCTCTACTGCGAGGTAGAGCTCATCGTCTCTTTTCATTGTCTTCATGTTAGCCCGAGCTTAACTATCAACATTCTGTTTCCTAATCTTCTTTTTACTACCTTTCTCATGTGGAGCCTCACGTTCTAAAGCATTACCTTGCGGCATCATACGTTTATTGTCTAAATCGAATGATTCAAGACGATGGAAGTAAGAGAAGAACTTACCCCTGTCAGTAGTCGGATAATCATAGTCATCTTCATAATCTCTTGCTTCTCTTTTTTTTCTTAAAAGTTCAGAATCAGCAGAAGGCATTCCACGTGCTTGGTCTAAAATGAAACTTCAACTTGATTGAATGAGTAAAAGAACTCACAGTCTTCATAATCTCCAGGAGACTCCGCATAGTAATCTTCATCAGCGTCCCTCTTCTTCACAACTTCAATTTGAATTTATTTATAATAATTACTCACAAAGTTCTCAAAACTACCTTTCTCATTTGGAGCCTTACGGTCTACTCCGTTATACGCACCAGCATTCTTGATTATACGTTTTCTGACTGAAATATTATTTTGACTTCAAAAGGCTGAATGAAGAAAAACTCGCATCCTTGATAATAGTGATAATCTTCTGAATGATGCCCATCTGGATTATAATATTCTGGGTTATAATCATCTGGATGAGGCCTTCCTGGGTTATAATAATCTGGGTTATACTCATCTGGATGAGGACCTCCCGGATTATAATCTTCTGGATTATAATAATCTGGATGATGACCTCCTGAATTATAATATTCTGGGTTATAATCATCTGGGTGATAACCTCCTGGATTATAATATTCTGGGTTATAATCATCTGGATGAGGACCTTCATGATTATAATAATCTGGGTTATAATCATCTGGATGAGGACCTCCCGGATTATAATCTTCTGGGTTATAGTCTGGGTAAAAGTCAGCATAGTTTAGAGCCTTTGCGTCTCTTTTCTTGACAACTTCAATTCAAACTTAGTTATCATCATCGCTTAAAACAATCTCAAAACAACCTTTCTGATCAAGAGCCATACGTTTCCGTTGTCCTCCTCCTAAAATGATTATTTGACTATCAAATCGATGAACTATAACTTGATCAAGTTACCGTTCATATTTTTAAGTTCTTCAGGAGTAAAAGGGGTGTCTACAGCTATGTCAACATAAGACAGAGGATCACCAATCTGATAATCTATAGGGTCTATCATGAAGAATTGTTCATCAGGATTGTACTCAGGATCTATAGAGAGTATATAAGTTTTAACATAATGAATATATGATTTCAAATACCATTTGCGCTTGAAACGCTGATCATAGCCAACAGCGACGCTGCCACAAGAAGTAGATAGAACTTCATGATTTGTGAAATGCGCAAGGCAGCTGTGTATCATATAATGTTCATCGTTTATATAACAATCCCTATCAGTTTTTGAGTATTGTTATACCTGTGCACACTTTTTTATTTGTTTCTCTCGTCTTGTTCAACTGATTAGAATCATGTTTTTGAGCTTTTCCTTCTTTTTTTTTGTTTTTTTTCCAAGCGTTTGGGTCTGTGCGAAACAGAGGGTAATAAACGTTGTGAATGAATTTATTCGAAACTGGGATTGGGAATTTCTCCGTCTAATACGGTTATCAAACTTATTAAATTTTTTCCATTTTCAGAGCTTCAAAGTTAAGTTAAGACACATACTCATGGTTATGAACGCAGTTTAATTAACATTCCACCAGATGTAACGTAGAGCGCACATGTTTGCTTTCATGACTTATCATTCGGTAGTCCTTGTTCGTTTTCAATTATTACTATCTTGAACATTATTCTGATTTAGATCGTCATGTTTTCAATTACCTTGTTCTTCCGGAGTCATTCCATTGAGGCGTCTTGTTTCTGTAACGACCAGCAGTTGTAAATTCTATTCGGCACAAGCGTATATAATCAGCTTTGACTCTCGGTATGACTATTGACAATCCCTAAGTATACTCGGATCTAGTATTTTGAGAAAATGCACCTCATTCTGAATCCATACAGTCGAAGAACTCGTCTCGAAGCTTCTCTGAAAAAAATCATCAAATGCTATATAAATGAAGGTTTATAATCATTCCCTCAATAAGGTATAACGTCGTTCATATCACAGGCGTACTCTACGAGTAACTATACATGTTGAACAATCATCCACATGAACAGGTAGTGAACGCATGTAATGAGACCATGCAATCAAAATTAGGGAAAGATACTGCTTCGTCATGGTGAAACGCTCAAGGCTATAGAATCTCACTGGCTCACCGGTCATATGAGAATTGAGTACCAGTTTGGATTATTGTTTTACCTCTAAATACTTGCATATTTACTTCCCTACTCATTGATTACAATCATGTTTTCGAGTCATTCTTCTCTGACGTTCCGTTCCAAACTTAGAGTACAGGCGGAACAAAAAGTAAAAGAAAAACACGATGCTCTTCGCACTCGTCTCAAGTCAATAACACTCCATGAAATGGTACTTCAGGTGTAGAAGTATCTGCCTTGTACTATGGTTTATCCAGTTTACATCTATTACAACTTAAGCATGATAGATATGTTTGGGTTTTGAGCGCTATAAACTCGAGAAACCAAATGCAACAACAAAAAACATCCATAACCTATAACGTTTTTTGGTGTTGATAACGTTCTCACATTTTTTGATAGAATGAACTATTTTCAATCCAGGAGACTTCCATTTCCATTATCAAATGAGCTTATAAGGAGATACAGCCAGTTCATCTGGTACTGAACAACACCGTTTCAATCTCCACAATGCTCAAGAGTAAGAGCTCCAAGACACTGCCTCGTGAACGAAAAAATGAAATTAAGAATTATTAATGCACAACCGTTCATTGCTAACTTCAAGTTTGATATGAACAAACAGCTTTTATGCTAATTACAGCACGCTCTCTGATCGTCTGTCAAAACTTAACCATGAGATGAGTGTAGTAAGCTCTTAGGTCTTAACAATGGCTTGCATTGCTCTTCAAATGTTTTTTGTTTATTTTTTTCTGCAATAATCATATGCATCTTTTCAGTCATTTTCTATTTTTTTTCTTTGAAAGGTCTAGTTGGGCATGTGCGCTTGGTTCATATATCGGACATGCATCTATGTTGACATTATTCTCTTGGGGAAGAAAGGATCCGCTAAGCTATGCCAGAGGGCGTTACTAGTAACTTTGCTGAAATGGTGGTAGTTTCTTCAAATGAGGGTGGTGAATGTGTATGAGTGGATGAATGTGGGTGAGTGTGTGTGTCTGTCTGTCTGTAATAGAAGATTTGCCAAATTTTGAAAGAAGATTTTTATGGAAAATTATGAGAGAAAACAGAATGATTGAGCTTGTTCTTTGTCTAGCTTGTCTTGCATCGCAGTTGTGGAAAGTTTTTGCTTTCTTCCTTTTTCAATATTTTGCAGATCAAAATGTTATTTGTCAAGAAAATGAGTTGTGAAGCAATCTTTTCTTTTTTCATGTCAGTACATGTTTTTTTTTTCATTCAGTTTTTTTTGGTAGAAAACGGAAAACACATGAAGATATATGAGGATATGTGACGTCGATGACAAATTTCACGCCGACAAGCAAGCAGATTCAAGCTCCGTGCCATGTGTCTCTTTGATTGGGGCATTCCTTTCTTAAGTTTTCTTTTGTTGTTTGGTCTTGTTTGACATCATGCTCACAGTGCATTTGCTCAGTCTCTTTCTCTTTCTATGTCATTCGAAAACTTGTAATGCTGTTTCGTATGTCTGTCATCTTACTCTTAATTCAATTAGCTTTTATTGCATAATTCCGTCAATTCTTCATATCTTTCAGAAATAGTCAAGTTCATCATTGGACATGATGGATTTTGCTTTGAATCCTCTTTAGTTTGAGAGGAAGAGAAGCAGGAAAACAGCTTCATATCGTATCAACTGTAGTCATTCAGCATTATACTTTCTGAAATAGAGCAAAGCACTCAATATGTCCCTCATCTGCTCTATTCTATGTAGTCGAGTGAGTTCTTTTTTTTCCATAATTCACTTAATTACACTAAAATATGTATGCTAATGTTGGCTATTGTTCATCATCTTCAAACGAGGCTCCCATAAAATCTGAGTCCGATCTATCTCAAAGCCATTCATTGAGTATTCGCTTCATGGATTAAACTCATAAATTTCAGTTTTTTCGTCGGCACCAGAAAGCTCTAACAATCAATCTGTTGATCATCTGTTTCCTCATTTGCTATACACTCATTGGTGGCTTCATCTTTCTCCATTTCGAATATAACTATGCACAGTATATAAAGCAGAATGACACATTATCCAAACGACGTTGTATTGAACACTTATTGACTGGGTAAGTCAACGTTTTTTTTGTCTTTTCCATATAAGGAAGGAATGTAGCTGTCAACATATCTCATGTTTTATCTCCAAACATTCGTTCATCATCTGAATGATTGCAATGTGTTCATGCTTTTTGCATTAATGAACAATCTCTGGATTGCACTAAGATTAGACGTCTCATATATAATTCTGATCCATAAATTGACAACTTAGCTTTCCCACGCAATTTTTGTACAGACGTCTCCGTCTGCTGATCGAAGCTTTATTTTTGTAATAAATTGGAATATTCGATTTGAATGTTGAATGTATGTATGTGTTCAATTTAATTGAATTGAACTCCAAATTACATTTTCGTTTGCTTGCTGTATATGTTCTATAACCTCTATCCTTCTCTCAAATGTTTTGACTTTATTTGGTGAATGATATTAAGGACATCAGACTTCTTCTTCCAAACACAATCCAAATTGTGATGTCTTTTCGTTTGGCTCTCTTTCTGTTCTATCATCTTCCCCCCTCTCAATCTTCTCTCTCTCTTTTTATCTCTCCCCCCTCCCTCTCTATCCCTCTCTGTCTCTTTTTCATTCAAGTTTTGATTTCAGAAATCGCAATTTACGGAACGTTCGTGATTCGGATTTTGCTCGAACTATAGCTGAAAGATGTTTAACAGAACAGGAGAGTGATCCTCGTCTCGAGTGGTCTTATAAGACAGCTGCCCTGTATGGTTTTGGAATTCTCACCACGCTAGGTCAGAAATACCTTTTACATCTCTTAACCATTATGTTGATAGTTGAATGAGAGCAAAGGGTGGGAAAGTTCCAATTAGTCTCTGCTAGCTTCTTATGCTATGGCAGATTATTTCTTGAAATATTCCTTGTATCCTCATGAGAGATGGCTCTTGTCAAATTTCGTCGACAAGCCAGTTTTTGACATCCGGAGGTCAGCGAACTGAAGTTTAGTTTCAAGAGTTTTACTTAAAATAACTCAAATGTATCTTGATTTTTCGATTTTTTGTCCGAGTCATCTTGTCTTGCAGTGTTTGATTTCAATTCCTCTTCTCACTGAAATTCTGAGATAGCTGAGAGATTTTCAGAGAGTTATTCCCTGACGTCCATAAGATGACGAATGAAGCAGGGCGGAAGTTCACTAAAAACTTCTGACAAACTGCAACTTCCAATGAATTACTGTGGTTCAAGAAAGTTCATTTGATCGATATGGTCATAAATCCCAATTTCAAGAGAAGCTTGCTTTTTCCGTTGATTTATCTTTATGAACTTCTTGATAATCTTCGATCAAGTCAGAAGTCGGACAACTTGAGGCAACTCATTCTGTTTTCTCCATACCCATCCATATCATACTTGCTGAAGTCTCATATTTTTCTTTTCAGGGTATGGCAAAGTTGAGCCAAGAACCTACAATGGCAGAATTTTCACAGTCATTTATGGGTTTTTCGGAATTCCTCTGACAGTCATATTACTCACGAATATTGGAAGATATTTAGAAGCTGCAGCTATTGGCATAAAAAGTTGTTTCAAGAGAGCAAGTCATCATTTCTCAGATTATCCCTAATGACTCGTTGCAGAAGAGGAATGAAGAAGCCTGTGTTAGTGGTTCAATGCTTTTCTGCATTGTTGTCCTCTACCTGGTATAACTGAAAGCAGTAAAGTGATAATAGTATTGTTTCAGGTAATCGGAGCTATTGGAGTGCCTTTACTACAGGGCAATTTTGATTTCTTCAATGGTCTCTACTTTGCGTTCATATGTCTTACGGCTATTGAATATGGAGATTTAGTTCCAGACAAGTATGTTTCATATGGATTTCAAAGCCATTCGCTCTTTACAGTAATTGGTACATTCCGCTCATTATCATGTATGTATGCATAGGATTAGCAATTTCAACCATAGCTCTAGGTTCGTCTCTACATCAGTTAGTCATCTAACCTTTGCATACAGATATTGGTTCGCTCTATGTAAGGAAGTTGCATTACATTGGCCGTAAGTTGAAGAACATCGCAAATATACGGATATGGTTCGGATCAAAGAAGTTAGTTCACTCTCTTCGTTCTTTGATGATAATGTTTTGAAGCTTGGAAGTCCGGGAACTTATTACCGCCGTCGGTCAAAATATTGGTTTAGACCAGACAATTATAGCTGATTTGGATATTGATAACTTAGTCGAGGCAAGAATTCATTTTTCATTTTCGGCGTTTCTGAAATCAAACGTTAATGCCATCTATCATCCCATGTTAGACTTTCATTCTCTTTGTCAACAAAAGTTTAAAAAGTTGAAAACAGGAGTGAAATTCTATTTTGAATGCACAACTGGTTCTTGTTCTTTCTCATCAGTCAACCTCGTCCTCCCTCCTCCTTATTTTTCCTTAACATTCCCTTGTTAAAATGCTTTACGTTGGAGCACGTAGACTTTCTTCTAAGCCTGGTTAGTCTTAACTCCTGCTTCGCGTTTCTTTTATAATTTCAAAACATAATTTTACAGACGGCTATACAAGTCAAGCTAGGAAGACTAGCCAGAGTTCCTCAAACTCACATGATAGTCGAAGGGATCTGGCCTCCGGAACTGGTGCCACTGTTCATGAAAGTAAAATTGTAATTTTATATAACTGACTCAATGATCTTGTTGCAGGACGGTCAGTTCCCGATGTTTGTGGATTCGGAGGACGACCTGCTGGAGCCTCGACCAAAAAAGACAGTAGTACGATTTGAGGTAAAAAGTTATCAGGATAGTCGAATGAAAGAGATAAACACAATTCAAATGAGTATTTGTGAAATGAAAATGGCTCTAAATTTTTTCAGACTCCTGATCGTTATCCTATCCTAGGTATAAAGTTAAGCATGTAGGGTTCAAACTCTATAATTTTTAAAAAGTTACATGCATCTGTAACTTTTGGCTTTCGAGCATCTCACTCTTACATCTCCAATAATACTAACTGCTTACTTTACTTCACTCTTTTGTTCATTCACACACAGCATGTACCTTATGCATGTTGCCATGGGTGTGTCTTTACTTATACTCATGTTATCATTTCAGGATGAAATGACGTACGAAACCTCCGATGATACAATTCAATCCTCGGTGAGTAATCTTCCTAGCTCGCGTCTCTCACTGCCAGTTGTGCCTCCTCATGGAGTGCATGGCTTTATTTCACCAACTCAGACAACTGTTAGAGTTGTACCCCTACCTGTGCCATTCCTTCGAACTCCTGAAAGCCGAAGTTCCTCTACTTCAGATGATGACGATACCACAGTTCCTATTAGTGCTTTGCACTCATTCTCAGATTCTTAATCTCACTCTTGTCTCATATTGTATACTTCGGTGCAATAAATGTAAATATGAATAATAAATTGATTATGTGGATTATACATGAGATATGACGTGAGCTTTTCTATTCAAGACGTGACCTCTGCACTTAGCGGTTGTTAATATTTCGAAAATATTTTCATCCCATCAGAGACCTTTGTGTGTGTTTTCAAAGTTTTTGGATTTAAGTGCTAGGTCTGTGCCGTTGCGTCCATCATATTTCAGCTGCATATGACAGTTTGCCCAAGCAGCTTTGATCAAGTTTAAAGTTTTTGTTAGAAAAAATTGTTTTCGAGAACTTCTAAAGTCTTCTCTAAAGGAAATGCGTGTCTTCTACTTCTTGGTAAAGAGCAGATGAGCTAGAAAAGTGCTAGGATTCTATTGAAACTGCTGCTAATTCCTTCTATCGCAACTATTCTGAAGAGAATGAATATTCCTTCTACGATAATATCTCTCACTACTCACCTTCTTTGTATTATACACTGATTCTGATAATGCTCGCTAAATGGTTTATTCAGAAACCCTTCTCACATCTCTACGGAATCAACAGTTTTGAAATTCTTCAAATGGAAACATGGTGTTCAAACATCACTTCAAGATGCATTTCCTTCTAGTCATAGTCGTTTTATCCGATATGCTCCGTGTATGTGACAACCACGTGGAAAATCAAACGTCAATTTCATTTTTTATTTTACTCGAATCGCATGCGGTTGTGATGAGTGTGACTGATGATGATGATTTAATCCAAATGGTTTCCGATTTTTTTAAAGAATCCGATAATTTTGTTTTTCAGGGAACGACGGTGTCTTCCTCAAAGGCAAATTATGCGGTTCTTGAGCTGTTAGGAAAAGGAGGTTTCGGCGCTGTTTACAGGTAAATTGAGTGTTAGAACCGTTGTAACCTCCCTCAGAGTATGTTGTCAACACGATGATAAGAAATGTTTCGCAATGAAAGTTGAGAAAAAGTTGGAAAGTCGAGAACACTCAAAATTAAGAATGGAGGTTTCAAGTGTATTGTATTATTCGAGATTTTCATTTTGTTCAGATCGCGATACTAAAATTGGTCTGCGGGGAACGGGAACACTCACATTTCACAGAGATAATTGATCGTGGGAAGAAGGAAACCTTTTTCTTCCTGGTTATGGAGTTAGTTGGGAAGAGCTTGGCTGACCTGAAAGTACTACAATCCGGAAAGGTGACTTAATATATGCTATTGAGAAAGTAAGAGATCTTGCAGGTTTTCACACCTTCAACAGCTTTTGGAGTTGCTATTCAATGTTTGGAAGCAGTTCAGGATATTCATAAACACGGGTTTATACACCGTGATCTCAAGCCAGCCAATTATGCTTGTGGATTAAATCAGCGGAGGAGAATCGTTAGATTTTGTTTATTTCCCTTAAAAGCGATCGTTTTATATTTACTTACTTGACTTCGGGATTGCAAGAAAAATTCTGAACGAAAACAATGAGCTGAAAGGTCCGCGCCGCGAAGCCAGATTCAAGGTAGTTAACGTTTGTTATTATGAAGGTATTTGAATTAGGGAACTGTACGGTTCGCATCATTAGCATGCCATCGGAATCAAGAGTTAGGCTTCAAGGATGATTGTGAATCCTGGTTCTATCTGTTGTTAGATATTCTTGTTCCTGAAGGTACGTTACATTTTCACTGCAAGCGAAGATTGAAAATTAGGACTACCTTGGAAGAAGTATGTGGATCGTCATGATGTTTTGCGTTGCAAAGACGAGTGCCGCAAAGACAAACGAGTAAGCGCTGAGCATTTCGACTCAAACAAGATTATACATCCAGTCGATGCTCTTCCAAAAAAATCCTGCAATGAAGGAACTAAGTGAACTACTCGATTACATTGACAGCTTAAAATATCACAATACTTCCATCAATTACCATTTTATGTACGAAATATTGAAGACGGTGAGATTTGTCGAGCTTTGTTAAAATCAGCAGCCTTACAGAGCGCCCTCATCTGTGGAGGAGATGTAAAGAACTTGTATGATTGGGAGGTTTGAACAGGTGAACAGTCTGATATCTCAATTATATATAATAAACTCTAATAAATCATTAAATCATGTAATCAAACTTGTTTCGTGTGTTCCTTGCGTATTTTCATGAATCTGTACTCGCCGCCTGTAACAGGCAGGGAAAGCCAGCCAACATGAAATACTTTATTTTTATGTTTATCTCCATATCCCATATACTCAAAGCGTTTTGTTTTTTCAGATCCCGCTAATGGAAGATTTAGAACCATTCAATTGCTACATTTGCAGTCAACCCTATGGTTCTCTTTTGTGACTTTTCCGGACCAACTAACTTTTTTCAGATCATCTATTGCATAAACCAGTGAAAGGGATATGTGGTCATACAATATGTGAACAATGCCGCAAATCTGTCGTTGTGCAGTCAAACAGCAAGTGTCCATTCTGCAAGCTCGATTTGGCGTTCTTGGACAAAGTAGGCAATTGGCAATTGGTTGGTAAGAAAACTTGTGTAACATAAAGAAGCTAATATGAACTTTAGATGAATTGAATGAACTTGTGTCGAATAAGACTGCTCTCCTCCAAGATATACGAAGTAAGGAATATCAATGTTAGATTAGATATGACTTGTTCCAGACGTACGTCGTGATTACGTGAGCTGTGAGCGAGTAATCCAAGATTTGGCAAAAAGTTTGAAAGATACACGTGCAAGACAAACCGAACAAATCAGTATGCTGGTATAATGCTTACTTCTAGCTTTTAATGTTCAGTTGTTTTAGGAACATGAAGTGGAGAATCTCAAGAAAACTATTAGTGAAGCAGAAACTTCTCTTCTATTCCAATGCGGGCGCTGCAAAGTTACGATGAAAAAAAGTTCTGCTCGGCTCTGTCTTCAATGTTGTTCATCGAAGAATTTAATTAAAAGGGAGAAAAACTGGTATCGTTTGAACAATCTCGAACAGGTTGCGAATATTGGTGTGCATTTGGACATTCATTCTGCAGGCTTGGAAGGAAGCATTATGCGGAGGTTGCATACTAACATCAACTCATCGTGGACATAGCAGTACTAGACTCTTAACCTTATACGTACGTTCATAAAAAGAAATGTTTAATAACTTTAGAAAAATTTAAGTTTACAAGTGAGATACACATAAAACTGGAAGAAAATCTCATATTATTACAGAACTTAGCTGAAGATAAACGAGAAGAAATAGAAATGGTTGGTCAACCACATTAACCCATACCTATACATTGACTTTTTGAGAAAATGGAAGAAGTAAAACAAGAATGCAAAAGCTGCTCAACGATAGCAGAGGGACTGAAGCTTATAGAAGAGATTGATCTATTGTTCGAGAAAAAAACAAATACTACTAACGATGAAACATTCTGTGGATCTCTTGAAATACTCTAACGACTATGTGATATATTCTAGTGCATTTTTACCGGTTTATAAGATTTTTGAACGATTGTACGTCACCTGTGATATTAGAAAATATAAAATGCGATTAATGTTATGAAGAACGAGAATATGTTTCCAAGAGCTAGTCTTGTGTTACTGCTACTACTTTCACCCGTTACAGTCAGTTTATCACCATATTTGTCTAGCAGATCTAATATAACGCCATTGGTCCATCCGAAGCCTTTCTAAAAAGAAAAAATGATTTTTCTGTCATCTCAAACATCACTGGTTTGAGTGGCACCATTAAACAGTGATGTTCAGACATTTGTTTTTTAAGGTGTGAAAACGGTCACACAATCACTAGTTCATCACTTAATCACTCACTCGCATTGTGAAAAAGTTGAGAAATGTGTACCTGGACTTCGTATTCACCACCACCACCTGCACCTGGTTCATCAGAATGCTGAGTAACATTATATTTTTCGAACATTGCATGCGTTCTAATGAAAGAACGATATGTAACTGTTAGCCATGAAGTAGCCATTTTCTCAGCTACCTAAAGGATTCTCCTTAACTGGGACACTATAATATATAAACTCTACCTGCATAAGAACTTTGTCTCCAGTTGTGCGGAAGCCTTCAATGACCATATGGATCATAGGTGGCCATGCATTATCTTTATCCCACTGCTGTTCACTACCCATCGCCAAGGAAGTTGGAAGACCCTTCGTGAAATTCATTACTCCTTCGCGCTGGAAAAGAGAAGAATGTACGATCTTATCATTCTTGACTGGTTTTTGATATCATTTTTTGATATTATCAGCAAGAAGTTAATAACAAAATTGCTTTTTTTAGCCGAATTAATATAGTTGAATTAATCATGGAGTTTAAGTTTGTTTTGCACAGCCGAAACTTAACCGGTTTCACATTACAATGAAAAACGCACATGTGGCTATTCTTGACGTGAAATTAGCATACCTTTAAGTACTCGTGTACTCGATGTGGAATGATGTCCTCATCATCATCAAAGCATTTAGCATACAAGGGAACTGCATTTGAAACATAATAGGTGTTGGAATGTTTCTGAACCATATGTGAACAAGTTACCGCGTTTCGAGCTTACTTTAGTTTCGATGTCGAAATCATACCAAACACCATCAGTCTGATTCCAGTGAATCTCCATCATTTGACGTTTAGCCCATTTGTACCTCTCCATGTACATTTTCCTCTTTTCTGTGTTTCCTTCAAAAATGAATCGTCTTACTCGTCTGTTGATGAAAGAAAACCTTGAATTTCGAAAAGATTCGCTAGAATTCTAGAATTGGCACATAAAAATGCATTGAGATCAACAGGAATTATGCTCCACGTTCTACAAAGAGGATGATTAACTGTGTTACATCTTTCAGGAAACTGTTCTCTGTCTTCCGTGGAGTACAGAAAATCATTAATTATCCCGCAAAAACTACCTGATACTTTCCATATGATGTTTTAAATCGCCAGTTTGGGCAAACCATCTTGTTGAAAAGTCCCAGCCGGTTTCAGCTGCTGAAGCTATTTCTGACCAAACACGGACCTTTTCCTCTATAGAAAGAAGAAATTGTTGAAACTTATGATGATGAGTATACAAACCGTCCGGTAATCCTTGAACCAACTCTTTGTCTTCACGATAAGATTCAGGTCTAGGTACAACCTGTTTTGTTTTGTACTGATAATAAGGATACCTAAGAAAGGAATTTATTGATGTCAACTCATTCAGCGTCTTACTTAATATTTCCTTCTTCGTCCAGAACGTTTGTAGAACGTTTATCCACCCAGAAGTTGTATTCTCTCTCGAGCGTCGGAAGAATTTCCAACATGAAGTCTAAATTTCCGGTAGCCAAATAGTAGTCATATACCATGGGAATGAGGAGAGGAGGTTGCGAACGAGAAAGATAGTATACTCGACCTCCGTTCGGGACAAAACCATTACTTAAAAACGGTAATGAACCTTCTGATTAACAAAGAATTTCATACTTATCTACCATATAAGCTAGATTTTTAATAACACCTTGTGCTGTGTCATACATTTCAGAAAAGAGAAGACCTTTCAATATCCAGAAAGTATCCCTATAACATGAATATCGACAATTTCTGTGCTCTGTGTGAAGCCTAACCAATAATAGAACTCTCTAAATCTTCCTCCTGGTATGATAAAAGGATAGGGGACGTATAGTAAAGAATACCGATCTTGATTATGACGTACATCGTCTTTGACCTGAAACAGTATTTGAGACTTAGTGAGCTAGATGGGCACTAACTTTTCTACATAATTCTTTCCATATACGATGCAAATGTAATGCCCATCTACGATGATGATAGTCTTGAATGTTCAAAAAGTTTGAAGGAAAATCCACATAATCATGTGGATTCCTGAACATTCAGATTGTAAAGAAACTATGAGAGATATAACCAAACCATTCCATCAATTCTGTGCCCGGAGGATTGAAATGTTGGGATACGAACTCTTTGAGTACCAAGGGGTCATTAACAGAATCGCCCAACAAGTCAAACTCTCGTAAAGTTGAGACTGCAAAAAGGGAATAAATCATGTTTACATGACTGTCGAATTAATGACAGTCGAGAAAACTGATTGAAAACCCGTCTTCATCAGTTTTCTAAGACTTTAAATGTTAGTTTCATTTCATTTTTTAAATTTATTATGCTAGTCATTGGCAGCTAGATGAGGTTTTGTTCTTATTTCTTGGAACTATACCTGGATCATATTTTAAGGACATGTCCACAAAATGCTTGGAGTCAGTAAATAGATAAGCATCTTGAACTGTCCTTAGGATAGGGCCATTACAGTAAATCTGACTAGAATATGGAAGCAACTTGAGAGTTCAGATTACTACGTTCATACCTTAAGACTGAAAGAACAGCATAAAGCATGATGAATTCCTAAGTGAAAATATATATGAAATTGGACTTTAGTCGTGGGAAGGTTTGCCCATCCTCTTTTTGAACGGATGGACAACACTATTAAATTAGATCTGAATATGGGCGGATCTTAACTAGATGGACGGTCTGTTGTACAATGATTATCGATAAAAATTATCCAGACACACCCACAATGCTTGTTCTCTGTAGGTTTGTACTGCTAATCACGCGTACTCAAGGCTCAAAATCTAAAGGGCGGAAAAATTCGTTCAATAAGTCTCAGCACGATTCTGCGCCGCCCATAGAGTGCCGTTGACGTGTGTTGTTCATATTGTATATGTTTTTGAATCTTATTTTCATTATTATGCACCTTTGAGATTGAAATATAAGAAAAGGAAAAATTAGAGAATTAGTTCGATCTTAAGTTCGATCGATTTAAAAGCTTACAAACGATAGTTTGAGGTCAAACGTTCATCATATACGTGGATCTTTCCCACGCTTCTTATCAACTCTCTTCCTTTGTTTATACATTTGCAATGAAAATATGTATTCTCTTCTGTTTTCAGGTAAAGAAATGCAGTTTGTAGAAGTCGTTCAAAAGGTCTTCGGTGACTACCAGAAGACCACTCCACAAAAGCTCAAAATCATTGATGCTTACATGTTCTACATCCTGATCACTGGAATCATTCAAGTAAATTCCATTCAGACTAACGCTTCAATATGTTTCTTTTCAGTTCGCATATTGTTTGATTGTTGGAACTTTCCCTTTCAACTCATTCCTTTCCGGATTCATATCATGTGTTACTTCTTTCGTCTTAGCATGTGAGTTTTGACTTGAAAATAAGAGAAGTATCAAAAAACTTTCAGCTTGCCTCCGTATTCAAGTAAATGATGAGAACAAAAGCGAATTCTCGCACATCTCTCCTGAACGTGCTTTCGCTGATTTCATCTTAGCTCATGTCGTCTTGCACCTTGTTATTGTTAACTTCCTCGGTTAAGGAAATCAATTTGTTCTGTTATTTATTAATCTATGAGCCTACTTGGGGTTGATGGCTTTACGCCTTTCTACTATGTGATATAAACTTAATATTATTTATTCAACTTGGGTTTTAATGAAACACTTGTTTTACTCTTGGTTACCTAAGAGAAACGTTTCCTCGTTTCCTACTTGCAACACATTTCTATCATAGTTTTTCATATTCGTCTATTTTCTCAGGTTAAACATGATTTACATGAGACCATTTCGTTTCATCAAGAACGCCGTCAAGAACCCCATCTAGTAAGTTTTTACTGATCACATGATCTTCTTTTTCTCCTGGTTTTCTCGTATAGGTTTCTCGTTTCCAATATACTGCACTAATATCTCATGTTACAAGTTATTTCCGTGAAATTTTTTTTTCAGCTATCCTACTTATGGAGCTTACGGTGCTTCCGGGTTCCTTCTTGCAATTTACCTCTGTGAATGGAAGACTGTCGGCCAATACATCCCTCTCTGGAACAAGCGTTACGTCGAGTGATTGAAGCGACTTGAGGAAACAGTTCTGTGTATTTCTAGAGTAGTCGATTATAAAGATTTTGAACGATACTGTGTTCCTCTCTCTCATTCTGAATCTGAGCTTTGCACTTAACAAGAGGTATTCACTTTTAGGATCACGAGAACTCGGCTGAAACTTCCCTATTCATATTGTTAGTAAATTTTTGTGAAGTCGTAGAAAATGCAAGAGGTTGTAGACGGCACTGAGCGGCGGTCGTCATGCACCCGTTTAGTTTTCCGAAGTCAGTTTCAAGAATCGTCTTAAACGAATTATTTTAACTTTTTGTTTTAGTTTCCCATTCAATTCATTCTTTCATCATCTTTCTAGGTGCCACAGGTTATTACTCTTGTTATATCTCGTTTCTGGTCTGCTTTTCGTTCTGTCTAATACGAAGAGCTTGGATCAAAATCTGTTCGAATATTCTGGATGCTGTAGTACCGATGTTGATATGATAATGAACATTCGTTTTGATTGTTGGTTTCATGCATGAAAGGTTAAAAACCTTATAAGTACCTTTAGTCACTCATAGTAATGATTGTGTAGAAATGGAAAGAGTTCAGATTCTATCAAAAAATGAAAGATAAGCGTAAGCGAAGGTCTGTGCCGAAAAAGGTGGAAAAAGAATTGGAATTAGAAAATGAAGAAGTAGAAGATGAAGAAGAATTGAATCATAAAGAAGTAGAAGATGAAGAGGAATTGAATCATGAAGAAGTAGAAGATGAAGAGGAATTGAATCATGAAGAAATGGACGATGCAGAAATATCTGAAGGTGGTCAGACTATGCAAGCTGATGAAGAGTTAGACAATGAAGAAGAATATGAAGATGAAGCTGCACAAGAACGCAAAGCTGTAGCTAAAAAAACTGCGGTATGACTTTCTATATGTTATTCGTACCCACCTTAAGTTTACAGGTTTTGTACTTTTCACATATACCAGAAGGGTTCAGCCCAGGTAGGATGAAGTCTTATTTCGAAAAATATGCTCCTAATGCTGTTGGTCGTGTATACTTAGCAGTAAGACGAGAAGAAAAATTATATTTGAAATGTTGTTACTCAGAGAAATAAGCGTGTCACGCATAAACATTTGTACACAGAAGGATGGATTGAAATCAAGAAGAAGAGATTGGCTAAGAGATTGGCCGAGATGCTCAACGGAAGAGAAGTAGGAGGGAGACGTGCAGACCCTGTAAGCTCTGTTATTTGGAATGTGATGTATCTGAGCGGGTGAGTATTATTCAATTTTTTTCTAATACTCCATCCAGTTTCAAATGGTTCCATCTAGTCGAACAGTTGAACTATGAGAAGAATGTCGAAGACAAGAGATTGCAAACTGAGGTAACTGATGTACTGATATCTTTGATCAAACAAGTTTTTCAGATTGCTCAAATCCGTAAAATCAGCTCTGCCTACGAAGAAAATGTTGAAAAGGGTATGAACTTGAAGAAGCTTGAAGAGAGGGTGAGTTCGCAACAAGTTTCTAATTTCTTAATGAGCTCGGTTTAGGTTTTGAAACAAGGAGGAAAATGGGAGCAATATAAACGACAGTTCGAACAGAGGAGTGGCAAAAAGAAGGAGAGGAACAATGACGAAGTGGAAACTAAGGATGTCATGAAGATGATTTTCGGTTGATTGCCTATTACTTGTGCATAACTGTCCAATCCACCCATTACGGTTGTGTTGCGTTCTAAAACTTGTCTCATACTTGGTTATTGAATAAGGTTGAATCTTATTTTGTTATTCTTTCTCTGTTGTTGATGTTGTTGTTTAAGAGACAGGTTGTGTTGCGTTCTAAAACTTGTCTCATACTTGGTTATTGAATAAGGTTGAATCTTATTTTGTTATTCTTTCTCTGTTGTTGATGTTGTTGTTGTTGTTAAGTAAAGGAACATGAATGCTGACGTTTGTTTATTGATATCGTTATGGTTATGTAGTGCGTATTTAAGGTTTTTACACAGGTTACTCTGTTTGAGGATGCGGTCAGAGGTTTATCGCCTTTTGGGCATGAGAGACTGTTATCCAATTCATTCCTCTCTGAAACAAGCATCACGTCGAGTGACTATAGCGACCTGAGTAAACAGTTCTGCTGTGAGGGAGTTCTCGATCTAGAGATTTTGTACCATTTTGTGTTCTTATTTCTCATTCTCAATCTGAACATCACAGTTGAAAAGAGGTATTCATTTTTAGAACTATGATAACTACGATGAGTCATCCTATTCATTATGCTCTCGAGTAATTCTGTGTGTTTTCATCGTCCGTTGACAGGAGCCAGAGACTATGCAAGTCGGAGAGATTTCAGACGACACTGAGCGGCGGTCGTCATGCACCCGTTTAGTTTTCCGAAGTCAGTTTCAAAAAATCGTCTCTCATAAAGAGATTATTTTAATTTTTTGATTTAGTTTCCCATTCAATTCATTCTTTCATCATCTTTCTAGGTGCCACAGGTTATTAGTCTTGTCATATCTCGTTTCTGGTCTGTTATTTATTTTGTCCCATTCTTCATGTTGTCTTCGATTGATTTTCAAATTATTGGCCTGAGATTCTGTTTTCATCCACTTGCAGAGTATGTTCCTATTCAATCGAACCCCTCCTGATACAGCAGAAGCCGATGCTCTATTCTCTGAGTCGTTTGCATATATTGAACAAGGTCTTTGTTATGATGAAATCGGCGACCTGGTAAGTTTAACGGGTGAACGTTTTCTTTTTCGAAAACAACTGTTACTCCAGCTCTCACAAATTTAACTATCAGCTTTTCAAAATAAGTTGTCTAGGCAAATGCGCTGGAAATGTACGAGCAGGGACTGGAGAGAATCAAAAATGCGGAAAAAATCAAAAATGCCAAAAAGAGTGAAATGTACAAGAATATGATTGCTTCAAAGAAGAATGTTGAGAAAAGGTGCGTCATTCACATGTTGCTATGGCTGAGTCCCATCTTTTTCAGAATTAAGGCTATTAAGAAGAAAGGTCCCATTTCTGTACCCGCTCCTGTTGAAAATGAGAAGGAGAAAATAGAATCTAAAGAAGAAATGTCCGATATCAGAGAAAATTTAGACGCCGTCGGAGAACAGGAAGCTGAGCTTGTTTACTTTTTACCGGAGGGTGTTCAATTATTCACCATAGACGTATGTTTGCATATCCTTTCAATTGATAAGAAACTCATGCGCAGGGAGATGAAACTGCAGCACCAACTTATCCGACTTCTCTTCAAGTTTTCCGTTTCACTGATGGAGACGCTGCATCTTTTAAAGCCGATGAAGGAGAGCCCACAGCTTTCATACAAGTACTTGTTTCATTGCTTTCCTCACTAATGGATATAACTATCAGGTTGGGCCATGGGTATACCCTTTGATAAAAGGTCAAACACCTATTCTGAAAAATGAGTATGGAGGCTATGTTGTGCCGAATCCAATTCCTGATCATCCAAGTAAATTTTGACTCATTATATGACTAACAATCTCCTTAAGATATGATGGTAGCGATTTTACTTCCGGTCGACATTGAGCCGAGACTCGAGCAAGAATTCCGCCAAGTTCTAGATCATTTCGCTGTGGTTAGGGAGCAAGAAGTGAAGAAAGACTTGACACCAGAAGAAAATAAAGTTTTGAGTAAAAAAATTGCTGCTTTTCTAACAAGTGGTAAGATCAAGCATCCTTATGTTTATTATCAAGAAAAATTTCAGGTGGCATCAAAATAGCCCAAAACTTACAAGCAAGAACTGCAAAGCTTGCAACATCAGTTGAGAACAGAGGAACAAAGTGAGTCAGTATCGCAATCGTCAGCTAATCTTTAATTCTAGGTACCGATCCAACAAAGAACCAACAGAAAAACCAGTTCCCATCACTCCGGTCATAAAATCAGGCGTGGTTTATATGCATAAAGGAACCAAAGTCGTCGCCAAATGCACGAAATTTTTACGTATGCTCATTTGAGTCTTTTTAATTGAGTTTGAAGCTTATAGTTGATAAAATTGGATCCATAGGAATTTCTGTGGGTAGGACGATAGCATCAGGTGCAGAGAAAGCGTTCGGTGACACAAGAGGAGGGCCACTGGTTTCTGGCACAATTGGTACTTATTGAAACTCATTTTTCATTTTCAAAACACTCACAAAAATGTTTTTTCTCCAAAATGACCTCACCAAGAACAAATTTTCGCGGAGGAACGCCTCTGAAAAATAGTTCTGCGCGAAAAGCACACACTCTATAACATCTTAACGTAACTGATCTCCTGTTTTTATAGATGTGTTGGGTGGAGGAATTATTGGGTTAGGAACTGTGTTTATGGCTCTTGAAGATGGTAGTAGAAAACTATGTAGAAGTATTGCCAGAGAAACGGTGGAAAACGTTCGAGTGAAGTAAGTTTGTCCTCTCCTGTGAAGCATCACAAAGCTTTATTAAGGTATGGCGATGAAGCGTCAGATACTACCCACCATGCTCTTTTTGCTGCTGGACATGGAAGCCTAGCATCTCTATATATATTTGAGCTCGGACCTCATCGAGCAATTGGAAGAGTGGCTCGCCAAGCTGGAATTCAGGTTGTTCTCGATTTACAAGAAAAAGAAAAAGCTTTACCTGCCCCACCCATTCCTTCGAAGAAAGCTGAATAATGTATATGAAACGCTTGCTTTGTTTTTTTCTCAATTGTATGAACTGTGATAATGAAGATTCGCTTGTCAAAAACTCTATGATGAAAAAACTAAAAGAGAAGAAGAGATTAAAAACCACCCAAGGTAACGAAAGAAGATTTTCGGGTAATTGGCTATTACTTGTCCAATCCACCCATTACGGTTGTGTTGCGTTCTAAAACTTGTCTCATACTTGGTTA